CTACAAAAATGTGCCCCATTCCATAAAAATTTGATGATGAATATACGATATACATAAAATTCTAATAATGACAAAATGAGAGGGGAGGGAGATGAATCGAATAACTAAAATAAACAGAAAGTACAAACTAAACACAATTGATGTTAGTAGGACCCGTCCAACCTTCAAAACAGAAAGGCCGCTGTATTCTGCCCAGGGGACAAAATCAAGAGGCGCTCTCGCTAAGGGAGTGGGAAAAGGATAACATTATGCGGGAATGGGAAAATATAAAGCTGACCCAGTCGAGATGAAAAGGGGTCCAAAACAAACTGGGGAGGTTGGGAATCTCAACTTGGACCATAACCAAAGAGCAGCCGGGATACAGGCCGGGAACAACACTTACGTTAACAAGGTACACTTAAGCTTGTCTAACCTAACCAAGTGAATGGTTCAACAGGAAGCCACCCCGATGTGCCATAGGTTGACCTAGAAGAGAAAATCAAGGCTAGCCCCGGTCACACGAACCAAGCTCGCCTCTTTCACCCACCTTTCGCTAAAGACTGTCGAATGCAATCGTTCTCTATCAGATCTAATCTTCATCTTTAGCTGATGCTGATAAGAAAGACGGTTGTCCCGCAAGACCTCCCCCCGGGGGCGACACAATGGACACAAGCTGTTCGGGAGCGAGACGAGCCGTTAGCTCGCCGACATGGTCCCATAAGGGGCGGACCTGGAGGCAATGGTAGAAGGCGTGCGAAGACGTTTCTTCTAAACCAAGACTGCACCGTTCACAGTCTGGCAAATCCGCCAAACCCCATAGGAAAGCCTTGTCATCGAGAGGCAGCCGATTCCGAGCCAATCACCAGGTAAGCGAAAACTCAGTGTTAGTGAGGTAATCCGCCGCTGGGGCCCAAGACTAGTAGGAGCGATACTCCTCCTCCGACAAGCCGAGCGTATCTCGTAGGAAATCCTTCGCGGGCCCCTCCACTTATCCACGATAGAAGACCTCCCTAGGCCGTGAAAGGTCACTGGACCGGGGAACGGCATTCAAGACCGACCGACACTCGCGAAGGAAAACCGACTGATCCCGGGGTTTACGACGGCGCTCAACCCTCGAGATGGGGGGGACTGATGGTAAGGCCATAGAATCTAGAATCGGATCTCCTCCACTTGATGCGCGGCGTAGGAAAGCCAACCTAGAGGCATGGATGTGACTCATCAGTTGCAGCATTCCCAGCCCCCCATGACACGGACGTTTAGTGCAGACTCGTCTGTCGACCCTATTCACGCGAATCTAGCGCCTTCCTGCGGGTCTTACAGAGAGGAAGTACAGACAATCGATAAAGAATCAGGAGGAGAATGTATGTAGCACAAACCTCCGCCCTGCTCTTCACGGACAACCTCTGTCGATTCCTAGTCTTACCGCCAGAATCGACCTTTGCTCGTACTTCAGACCAATTCTTCCCCAACTAGAGGTCGGGCCCAAAACACACTACAACAGCGACCCCCTTCCAGGCACCTAACCGCAAACCGGACGACTTGTCGCGGTTTATCTTGGCCCCTGTCACCTTCTCGTACCGATCAAGCGCTTTCTGTACCGCCTCAATGTCGCTGCGGGACGACACGAAAGCAGATACGTCATCGGCGTACGCGGAAACCCTTGCACGAGACCAGGCACGGCAATTCCATGTAGGGCCGGACTGCCGGTCTCGTCATTCAGCCGGCGAAGGAGAGGCTCCAACGCCAAAGTATAAAGGAGAGGCGACAGCGGACAACCCTGACGAACCGACCTAGACAGCACGAACGCGTCCGACAACCTTCCGTTCACCTGTACCACCGCACTGGGGGAGCGATACAGGAGGCTAATCCAGCAGCAGAAGTTGGGTGCGAATCCAGCGGCCTGCAGGACAGTAGCAAATGCCTTGGACTGATCCAAATTGATCAACGCGGCTTCTTCGTCGTCTTTTACACGCTCTATGATCGTGCGGATCAGATGCAGGTTGCTCTGAATTGTTCGGCCCCTCACAGAACAAGTCTGCTCAGGTCCCAACAGAGACTCGGCAACTGACTGCAAACGCTCCTGCAGGATCTTGGCCATAATCTTTAACTCTGTGTTTAGCAGAGTTATGGGCCTGTAATCATCTAGCTTCTCCCACCACCTTTGCCCTTTTTCAACAGAGTGATCACGCCCCTGATAATCCGATTGGGGATGGACCCCGACCGAAACCAGTTGTTGAACACTGCTGTCAAAATCAGAACAAAGATGTGCGACAATGTGTACAATTCATAGGGCAAACCATTCAGACCGGGCGACTTGCCTCTGCCGACCTTCTTCAAAACCACGTAGACTTCGCCCTCCGTGATCTCTCCCTCGCAGCTAGCCGCTTCAGTCGGCGAAAGCCGAAGAAAGTCAGCCAAATAGTTGCGAAACTCCTCCTCACGGAGACCAGGCTCCTTGGTAAACCGGTTCTCGAAATGACTCCGAAACGCCTCGCACATGTCGTCAGTGGCCCGAAGACTATGCCCCTCCGGGGACTCGACTTCACGAATGAAACGATCGCCACCTCGACGGACCTCTTCCCTGCGCAGATCTGCGCCCAAGTTCACGGCTTCAGAAGACATCTTGCTTAACTTATGTCTAATTACCTCGCCCATGTACCGCTCGCTATTCAAACGATCCAGGGCCGCCCTAGGTAAGGCTATCTCTAGGGGATCCCCCCCAGCCACCGCCCGGGTGTAACTAGCTTTAAGTGTCTTCACCTTTTCAGCTCTATCTAGAGCGAGCCGTTTGCTGAAATCAGTGGTGAAAGACCTTATCCTAGACTTAAGACGTTCCCACCACTTATTCCCGATAACCGCCCCCACTAGCCCCCGCTGCACTAATCTAGTTAGCTGTTCCTGGAAGTCCCGCCTGTCCAGTAAGGACAGATTGAACTTCCAGTAGCCAGCCATTCTAGGCCTATGATCTAACGCTACACGGGCACAAACAAGTTTGTGGTCCGAGTAGCCTACCCAGTGGAACGTAGGGCAATCTAGCAGATCTATGTCGGCTCTTCTCACTAACATTCTGTCAAGGTAGCTAACCACCTTGTCAGAAGGCCAACTAAGAGCCCACGTCCCATGTTTCCCCGGGATGATCGACCCGGTATCTATCGACGAGACAATAATCGTCGATCAGATCAACCAGGCTACGATCGTCCCTTCTCCCACTAGCACCCCCGCCCCCTGTCTAACTTGGGGTCCAGAATGGCATTCAGTCCCCATTAAAACTAGGCGCGTTGAATCAACCAGGAACGGCCCCAACCGCCGAAAAAACGTGACCCGCTCCTCCTGGTCATTGGGCGCATAAACCGCAACGACTCGGAACGAACCACTTTTCACGACAATATCGGCCACGATCAACCGGCCCTCGGCATCAGTATGCACAAGGTCCACCTTCGCATCAAGAGTCCGTCTGACAAGCAAAGAAACTCCTCTGGCAAACCGGTCCCCATATGCTGAATAGACAACAGTCATCCTCCAGCACACACGCATCGGCACTGCAAACAAAGTGTGTCTCTTCGATCGCGGCAACATCCACATCCAGGGACAGGAGGTCCCGGAGCAGGCGGGCAGCCGGGCAGCCTTACCCCGATCCCTTAAGCCCCTCACATTTAACGTCGCTATATTGACATTTTCTAAGCCCTGTAAAATATAAAACACAGAATAAACTTACTCACATACAGGGCGGAAATCTGCAGGTGAAAGGATCCCGACGGATTGTCCTTGGCTGCCCACACCTAGATCCGACGTCATTCGTCCTTCCAGGACAATCCCGCCGACATCCGAAGGGTAAGTTAGTTTCAAACATCTGTATAAGGAGGGGTGGAGAATAACAGGGACCCTCCCAGCACAATACTGTCAACTTCTTTAAATGAGGAGAATCCATCTCCACCATCCTTATTTTTGGGAAATTGTCCTTTGCTTCCGTGACATGCCCCGAGACTTTTAGGTAAGTCCCTGTGTCTTTTACACAGGTGAGTACCCCCGGGGCATCTGGGAAATTTCGCGGGTCTTCTACCGACTTCCCGTCCACACACTCCAGTTTATACAAGAGTCCCAGTTGGGCTCTCTTTTGGCTGGACAGGGCCTTTTTGTAATCCTCCTTGTCTACCCGACAAATGTCCTCGGGTCCCGAAAAAAGTTTTCTTTTTCTTACCCCTGGAACGGTGGGGATGTGTCCGGGGAAGTTAAAGATGGGCTGAGGGGAGAAGGGGGGGGGGGGAACCCGGGCAGGGGAAGAAGTACTCCTAGCTTTAGGTGTTCCCATGTTCTGTTTCGTGTCCGCCGGAACAGAAAGGAACCTGACTTTGGGCGTAGTAAGGCGGAGGAGAGCAGAGACAGAGTGCTTTGGTATTTGCGTTTCCCCTTCCTCTTCCTCCTCTCTACTTCTCTTTAAGGAAGAAGTTCGTGGTGTAGGCATATCCTCGACCTCCATATCCTTTTCTTGCTTTTCATCTTATTGCTGCTGCTGTTCTTTGTGCTGACTCTTTTTGGTTTGAGCTACTTGCTTCCCCTCTTCTGTTTTTTCAGCCTTTTGGGGGTTTTCCAAATTTTTGGTATTTCCCGGCTTTTTTGTGATTTCCGCATTTTTAGAACTTTCTGCCTTTTTAGGGCTTACATCCTTTTTAACACTTTCTGCCCTTCTCGGGATTTCTGCCCTTCTCGGGATTTCTGCCTCCTTAGGGCTTTCTTCTTGCCCCTTTTTTTCAGCTGCTGTTTTGATGCAGTCTCATCTTTCTTGGGAGGATATGGTACATTTCTTGCTCTCTTACTCACCACCTCCTTCCAAGTATCTTTAGGGTCCTTTTTCCCCGTAGGTATTGCTACAGCTGCTTCATCCGCACCTGCTTTTGCTGCTACTGCTGTTGTTATAGTTTTTGAAGGCTGCGGCAGTTTGTTGAGGCACTCCTTAGCCATGTGGCCCGGGGTGCCGCATGACCAACAGCACGGCTTCCGGTCCTCCACCACGACCAGCATCCTTCTTTTACGACATGTGAGGACATTGGGGACCTCTCCAAAACTTCTTTGCGTCAGGGTGACCTGAAGTTCCATGTCCCCGGTTGCTATACCTGATTTTCCGAGAACCGCCCTGACCTCATTCACCTTGCCGAACTTCGAGAAGAATGCCCCCATTCTGTCGCCACTGATGTCCACCGGCACCCCGTGGACCGTAATTTTCGTCTTTCGAGTGCCCATGTACTCTGTCTGCAGTCTTAGATTTTTGGTGGATAATACATTACCCGCCAATAACTTTGCCTCTTGCTCCGTAGGAAGTAGAATGTCCCAAATAGCATTTGACCTTCGAGCCAGGACTCTTGGACTAATTTTGAGCGTCTTGAGGACCTCTTCCATCGCCTCCCTGCCTACCCCCACCAACTTACGACTTTTTACGTCCGAGGTAAGCAGGGAAACAATTCTTGTTTAGACTGCCTCCCAGGCTTCTGGTATCGTGATGAAGTCATTATTCTGGAAGGAGTCCACGAACTTGCTGTGCTGAGGTTCATAGTACTCAGCATCTTTCTTGACCGGGTTATTCTTACCCCAGGCCGTTTTTACCGGCGACACCGGCGGTGGTGTGTTGTTTGCACTTTCCTCCGTCATGGTGGCTGGCCACCAGACGGGCCAAATAAACAGTTTTTCCTTTTTCAAATTGTAATTTCTTTTTCACGATCCAGAATGATACAATTAATTACAAACCAAAATAAAATATAAGCAGAACGAGGACAACCAAAAGCAGAAAATATATCAAATCAAAAATTAAAAAATACAAACAAAACTTGTTGGGGAGGGAAAAAATAGACAGCAAAAGAAAAGGAAATAAAAATAAAAACTGCACAAATGAAGTCAACTGAAAAGAAAAAGAAACTGAAAAATTCAAACAAGTTTTTAGCAAAACAACTGAAAATCAAATCAAGAAAACTTATCACTTAGCACGCAATTAACCAGTTCCTTGTATCACACAACCTCGTCCAATAAATCAAAAGACCTGGGAGAGGGGATATATGTATGTAACTAGGAGATTTATTCCTGCAGATTACAGGGAATTGTGGCACAAGGCCGAAAAGGGAAGGGGTAAAGGCTGGTCGTCACTAACTATCTTATACCTAGCTAATCTGATTCACGACCCATTCATACGTTACAATTTACTCATTCACCACAAGAACTCATCCATCACCTTTCAATCCTCCAATCACCATAATACCACATAGACTCAAAGGGAACCTACCAAAACGCGCCCCAATCCATAAAAATTTGATGATACATAAATGATATACATAAGATTCTAAGAATGATAGAATGCAAGGGGAGGTAGATGAACCCAATAATAACTCAAAATCAACACAAAATGCAAACTAAACATAACACATGTTAGTAGGGACCTTCCAACCCTCAAAACAGAGAGGCCGCTGTATTCTGCCCAGAGGACAAAATCAAGAAGCACTCTCGCTAAGGGAGTGGGAAAAGAGGATAAAATATTATGCCGGACTGGGTAATATAAAGCTGACCCAGTCGAGATAAAAAGGGGTCCAAAACAAACTGGGGAGGTTGGGAATCTCGACTTGGACCATAACCAAAGAGCAGCCGGGAAACAGGCCAGGAACAACACTTACTCACATTAACTAAGTACACTGAAGCTTGTCTAACCTAACCAAGGGAGGGTTCCACAGGAAGCCACCCCGATGTGCTATAAGGGTTGACCTAGAAAAAAAATCAAGGCTAGCCCCGGTCACGCGAACCAGGCTTGCTACTTTTACCCACCTTTCGCTGAAGACTGTCGAATGCAATCGTTTTCTATCAGATCTAATCTTCATCTTGAGCTGATGCTCAAAGAATTGGATTAGATGCTGATAAGAAAAGACGGTTGCCCCGCAAGACTTCCTCCATCCGCGTCGTCCAAATCACCATTCGAGCCGTGGCCATCAGCATCAGAAACACCATCCGTTTCACCCCGGAATACAGGGGGCGACACATTGTCACACGCGTATGCGCGATCAATGGACACAAGCTGTTCGGGAGCGAGACGAGCCGTCAGCTCGCCGACATGGTCCCATAAGGGGGGCGGACCTTGGGGGCAATGGTAGAAGGCGTGCGAAGCCGTTTCTTCTAAACCAAGACCACACCGTTCACAGTCTGGCAAATCCGCCAAACCCCATATGAAAGCCTTGTCATTGAGAGGTAGCCGATTCCGAGCCAATCGCCAGGTAAGTGAAAACTCGGGCTTACTGAGGTAATCCGCCGCTGGCGCCCAAGACCAATAGGAGCGATACTCCTCCTCCGACAAGCCGAGTGTATCACGTAGAGAAACCTTCGCTAAACCACGATAGAAGACCTTCCTAGGCCAAGAAAGGTCACTGGACCGGGGAATGGCCTTCAAGGCCAACCGACACTCGCGGAGGAAATCCGACTCACCCCGGGGTTTACAACGGCGTTCAACCCGCGAGATGGGGGGGGACTGATGGTAAGGCTAGGGAAGGCGTCCCTAACAATCCACTCCAGAATCGGATCTCTCTGTCAATGCGCGGCGTAGGAAAGCCAACCTAGAGGCACGGATGTGACTCATAAGTTGCGGCATTCCCAGCCCCCCATGACACGGACGTTTGGTGCAGACTCGTCTGTCGACCCTGTTCACGCGTCCCCTCCATAAAATGGAGGAGAGCGATCGCTCAAGCGCCTTCCGACGGTCTTTACAGAGAGGAAGTACGGACAATCGATAAAGGATCAGGGGGAAAATGTATGTAAGACAGACCTCCGCCCTGCCCTTCACGGACAACCGCCGTCGATTCCAAGTCTGACCGGCAGAATCGACCTTTGCACGTACTTCAGACCAATTTTTCTCTAGCTGGAGGTCAGGCCCAAACCACACTCCAAGAATGCGGACAGGACCGTCCGTCCAACCGAAGCGGCCCGGAAGATCGACCCCCTTCCAGGCACCTAACCGCAAGCCGGACGACTTGTCGCGGTTTATCTTGGCCCCTGTCACCTTCTCGTACCGATCAAGCGCCTTCTGTACCGCCTCAATGTCGCTGCGGGACGACACAGCAGATACGTCATCGGCGTACGCGGAAACCCTGGCTCGAGACCCTCCAGGCACGGCAATGCTACGTAGGGCCGGACTGCCGGTTTTCGTCCTTCAGCCGGCGAAGGAGAGGCTCCAACGCCAAAGCATAAAGGAGAGGCGACAGCGGACAACCCTGACGAACCGACCTAGACAGCACGAACGCGTCCGACAACCTTCCGTTCACCTGTACCACAGCACTGGGGGAGCGATACAGGAGGCTAATCCAGCGGCAGAAGTTGGGTGCGAATCCAGCGGCCTGCAGGACAGTAGCAAGGTAGCGATGGTCAACCCTATCAAATGCCTTGGACTGATCCAAATTGATCAGCGCGGCTTCTTCGTCGTCTTTTACACCCTCTATGATCGTGCGGATCAGATGCAGGTTGCTCTGAATTGTTCGGCCCCTCACAGAACAAGTCTGCTCGGGTCCCAACAGAGACTCGGCAACTGACTGCAAACGCTCCTGCAGGATCTTGGCCATAATCTTCAACTCTGTGTTTAGCAGAGTTATGGGCCTGTAATCATCTAGCTTCCCCCCACCACCTTTGCCCTTTTTTAACAGAGTGATCGCGCCCTGGTGATCCGATTGGGATGGACCTCGACCGAAACCAGTTGTTGAACACTGCTGTCAAAATCGGAACAAAGATGTGCGACAGCCTCAAGTACAATTCATAGGGCAAAACCATCCAGACCGGGCGACTTGCCTCTGCCGACCTTCTTCAATACCGCGTAGACTTCGCCCTCCGTGATCTCTCCCTCGCAGCTAGCCGCTTCAGTCGGCGAAAGCCGAGGAAAGTCAGCCAAATAGCTGCGAAACTCCTCCTCACGGAGACCAGGCTCCTTGGTAAATCGGTTCTCGAAATGGCGCCGAAACCCCTCGCACATGTCGTCAGTGGCCCGAAGAGTATGCCCCTCCGGGGACTTGACTTCACGAATGAAACGATCGCCACCTCGACGGACCTCTTCCCTGCGCAGATCTGCGCCCAAGTTCACGGCTTCAGAAGACATCTTGCTTAACTTATGTCTAATTACCTGGCCCATGTACCGCTCGCTAAGGCTATCTCTCGGGGATCCCCCCCCCAGCCACCGCCCGGGTGTAACTAGCTTTAAGTGTCTTCACCTTTTCAGCTCTATCTAGAGCGAGCCGTTTACTGAAATCAGTGGTGAAAGACCTAATCCTAGACTTAAGGCGTTCCCACCACTTATTCCCGATAACCGCCCCAACTAGCTCCCGCTGCACTAATCTAGTTAGCTTAGGTACCTCCACGAAATCGCTAAAAAAAGAGCATAGCTTGATGAAAAAGACGCCAAACTTGCCGAAAACTATATTTTATTGTCTAAATACTTATGTTATTACTAAGAGGAAAGACCAAAGTTTT